GCTCTAATCCTGTGGGAGTCCTCAGACAGACAGGGAATCATCAATGAGGCAAGGAAATACTTTGTGTTTGCTCAGACCTTCACCCTAACCCCGTCCCATCTCCAGTGAGGCCTGACTTCCTTTAAGACGTCAGGGCTAACTCCTCACCCTCTCTCATCCAGGATTCCCGCCTGGCTGACTCAAGAGGTTTCCCTTCCCACTGATGATGTGTGCAGGGTTTTTTGTTGTTATTTCTTTTTTTTTTCTTTTTTTCCTATTTTCAACATTTTGGTTCTTTTTCCGGCTTGAAACACTTGTCACAGTAAGTTTTTTGTTTTAAAACATAGGTTTTATTATTATTATTCAGGTATGGTTTATTGCTGATCAGTGAAGTCTGACTCTGCAACCCCATGGACTGCAGCATGCCAGGATTCCCTGTCCTTCACCATCTCCCGGGGTTTGCTCAAACTCATGTCCATTGAGTCCGTGATGCCATCCAACCATCTCATTCTCTGTCGTCGCCTTCTCCTCCTGACTTCAATCTGTCCCAGCATCAGGATCTTTTCTAATAAGTTGGCTCTTCGCATCAAGTGGCCAAAGTATTGGAGATTCAGCTTCAGCAGCAGTTCTTGCAATGAATATTTGGGTATGGTAAGGCCAACAGATCAGAAGGCAGCTGCCACTAAAAAGAGTTTGTTACAGATCCCTGAAGAAGGGGGCATACCATGCCAAGTGGGAAGAGGGTGACCACACAAGAAAGCATCCAGAGGTCAGGGGACAGAAAGAGTGGGGGAAAACATGAGAAAATGCTTTTATTGTGGTTTCTGTGGAAAGAACAGTGAAGCAGGGTGAGCATTAGGGTTAGCTAGTTTGAACACCTCCAGCTGGCTCTTGGCAGGGGGGCTGGTTCCTGGCAGTCTAGTACCTGGCTCTCTACCTGGCAATTAGGGCAGGTGGATAGAGGCCCAGAGTGTGAAAGCCCATTAAAGGAGATGGTTGAGGTATGACTGACTTGGTTGGTTTCCATAGAAAAGGCTCACTCACAGGTTAGTTTACTATCACAGGTTACTTTACTGATCTCTAAGAACTGGCTACCTCTGGAAGAAGCAGTCCCTCCAGAGGCAGGGAGTCCCCAGAATGTGAAAACATCAAAAACACAGATACAGAACAGAATAATGCAATTAACACAACTTCTGAGGCACTCTTGGAGTGACTCAGGCCTCCTGCTGCTGCCAAATGAGCCAGGCTGTATGAAGCCCTTGCCAGTGCATGCTGGAGCCTTGCCTGACTTGCTTTATCATTTATCCCTGGAATCTCAATTCCTTGACCTAAATGTCTCGAGTCTCAATCAACCCAGCAGTCCATTCTTCCTCCTCTGCAGAGTGGTCAAGAACCTAGTGACCTCTCCATGGCAGGTTCTACTATGTTCTAGAGTTCTCATCAGTCAAGTTCAAGTGCCTCCTTGTTTCTCAACTTAGACACATTTTTGCCCCCAGCCTGCCACTCCACAATCACAACTCAGATAGTACACTCTCTAACTCCTCCACTACCTGCTTGTATCCACCCCAGGGAAACTTTCACTCCCCAGTGTGCTCCATTCACTATTTACACTCCTCTTTCCCTGGCCTGCTCCCCACCTCAAGTAACAAACCTGTTCCTGGACACCACAGAGCGCTGGCCACACTGCTTGCACTGATGCGGGGAGGATGAGAGAGGATGCCTCCATGGGTCCTCACCTTCTCTGTCCCATCTCTCTTGAATCATCCCCAGGTGTGGCCCAACACCATTTTAACATTCCCCATAGGATGGTGAGGCAGGGGATGGTACACACACTTCTCTGTGGGCACCCATTACTTGATGTGAAATAATTTCATCCAGACTCGGGGTGAGAAGGATCTTTAAAGCTATGTGGATCCCCTTCCCTGATGCCTGTTTTGAATATAACTGGTACTGCAAACCAAACTGCTCTCAGTTCTCACGGCCCCAGGGATGCCCTCTGACCTAAAGACATAACATTCAGAATTTCCTTCCCACTTGGGGTAAATCTCAAGCTCATGCAACTCAGAGACTAGGGCACGTCCCTTCTTGGCTCTTATTTTTTGATTGACATTATTATTCATGGCCCTTCATTCATCCATAAAGAATAGATCTGTTGGGTTCTTAAAAAAATTCCGCTGGGAATTTTTGATTAGCACTGAACTGAATTTATAAATTAATCCAAGAAGAACTGACATCTTTACTAACATCCTCTCCATGAATATGACATTCCCACATCCCCACGTTTTATCCCTTAACAAACTTAAATTTGTTCTGTAAATATTCGTGTATTTTTAAAGCTTTTCCCCTAGATAGTTAATGCTTTGATGCTATTTTGTGTTGTATTTTTTAGATGTTAAAAATTAGTGTAGAGAAATACAATTGATTTTTTCATGTGAAACATGGAAATCTCACTGAATTGTCTTAAAGGCTTTGTTGTGCACATGTGCTCAGTCATGTTCGAGTCTTTGCAACCCCATGGACTGTAGCCCACCAGCCTCTTCTGTCCACTTTATTCTGATGGATTTTCTATGCAAAAGGTTGTATCATCTTGAAATAATGATGGTTTCATTTCTTCTCTTCCATTTCTTACCCTTCTCCTGTTTCTTGTCTTAGCAGTGGGCAGGTCCTCCAGGAGAATATGAAACTAGTTGATCTGAAGAGGAGTCCATGTCTTATCCTTGGCCTTCGTGAGAATGCACCTGAACTTTCTTTTTTATACATAATATTTGCTGTAGAGCAATGATTCTCAAACTGTTCGGCCTCAGGGTCCCATCATACTCTTAAAAATTATTGAGGACCTCAAAGAACTTTTATTTATGGAGACTCTATCAGGATTTATCACACTAGAATGAAAAAATGTTGAAGAATATTGAAACACAATAATATATCATTCATGATATTATGAAGTTTTATGATGACTGAGTTAATTTATGAAAAACTCTGCAGAGTGTCTAATAAATGGTCAAACAAATAAAGATAATAATAAATCCATTATGTTAACATAAATAATATATTTTAATGAAAATAATCTCTTTCCAAAACAAAAAATAATAACAACAAATATATTAAGTTTACATTAAATTTTTTTTTAAAATTTTTTAATGTAAACTTAATCGAAGATAGCTGGGTTCTAACATCTGACCCTGCACTCGATCTGTCATAATACATTATTTGGGTTGAAGTATGAACCCAAGTAAGGTGAAAATTCAACCTTACACAGAAACATAGATGGAAAAGGGCAGAGCATTTTAACAGAGTTTTAAGATAATTCAGGCTATTCTTTGATATGATACCAAAACTTGACAAGTGGTAGTTTCTTAAAGGTCAGGTGAATGCAGAAATCTAAAATTATTTCAATAGACCTTTCACACCCAGTACGTTCATGAAAAAATTAGAATGAAAAAGGAAAAGAATGTTGCTGTTGAATATTATTGTGAAAATAGTTCTGATATCACAGACTCACCCTGAAAGGGTCGTAAGAGATCCTCAGGTTTGCAGAGAATACACTGCAAGAACTGCTGCTATAGATAATTGACTTAACCTTTATCAAGTTGAAAAGCTTCTCTTATTTTATTATACTGATTTTTCAAAATCATTAGTAAGTGTTGACCATTATGAAACGCACGGCCGAGAGACGGAGAGGGCTTTCTGTTCCCTGGAACTGACAGCTCAGCACAGGCGCACGGAGCAGTGGAAGGACCTCAGGGCACCCGTGAGGTTCCCTGGGGCTGGTCTGTCGGTTTTGAAGCTCAAGGGCTTTGGACATGAACTCAAAGGATTTAGTTTCTAGCAGGGACCATCCTGAAGAAATGGCCAGGAAATCAAGGTCCAGGCTGGAGGCGTCATCCCTAACCACATACCTTCCATAGGCCTGGAGGCCGCCATCTTGGAGCGCCACAGCCCAGGGCCGCGCCTCCGTTCCTCCACTGCTGACGGGACAGAGGCCTTCCCGGTACTGGCCACCAGGCAGATCAGGACTCCCTCATTTCCTCAGGCTTGCACAACCAGGGCAATGCCCTGTGGATGAGGACAGCCATCGGTGTCCGGTAAGTCACCCTTGGCAGATCCGTAGGAGAAATGACCTGCAGGTACACTCCCTGGGCATCAGACCAGCTGTCATCCTCACCCCCTGACCCGCCCAGGGATGGCTCAGTATAAATACAGCCACGTCTCCAAGCAGGCAGGGACCAGCAGCTCTCCTCCACTGGGGATCAGGTGAGGAACCGCTTCAAGGAGCCATTTCTTTGAAAACTCTTACTTTAAAACATAACTTTTCTGATTTCTATTTCTCCTATATGTGGTCAGTGCTGGCAGAGTGGTGCATGGGAAATGCTTTTAGATTAACGACAGGCTGCTTTAGTAAGACACAACTTGGACCCAACTGACCTCTTCTTCCACCAAAGCCATCTGGGTGACCTCTTAGACAGTCTTGGGTTCAGGGTTGGTGGGTTCAGAATTGAGGGCTTCAGGCTGCCAGTAATGTCCTACTGCAGTGTTTCCTAGTAGGACCACTGAGAGTCTAGTGGAAATGAACAGCCAGGCTCTCCTTGACATACAAACCCCAAAGTGGAGAGGGGTGAAAGTCTCGTCGGTGTCTCCCTGACCCTCTCGTTTCCTTTCAGCACAATGAAGCTCTTCACAGGCCTCATTCTCTGCTCCTTGGTGCTGGGAGCCCACGGCCTGCTTTCCTTCCTTGGTGAGGCTTTTGAAGGTAAGGCCGATGGAGGGGCGATGGCATCCTTGGGCCTCTAGGCTTCACCCTAAACACCCCTGAGGGTTGGAGCTGGTAGGAGGTGTTCCCCTATGTGGTAGAATATGACAGGTATCGGGGAAGCTTTTTTCAGACAGTTTGAAAAGTACAGGATTTATGTCCATCAGGTACTAGAGAAAGAACGAGCATCATTTCCAGCTGAAATAGCAGTTTGAGTGGAAGACACAAAACAAGTCTGAAATAGAACGAAATTTCCCTCAGACCAATTGCATAAAGTAGGGTGAAAGCAATCCATCTGTTCTCTCTCCTGTCTTTCCATCCCTACTCCTCCCTCCCTCCCTTCCTTTCTTCCTTCCTTCCTTCCATTTCCTAGTTGGACAATTCAGAAACCTTCAGAACACCTTGTTGGTCCTACCTATACTCAGTGATGCTGTTCCTGCTTTAGTCTGTTTCCTATCTTTTTCTAGCCTTTTAACTAATGAAAAAAAAGGTGTGTGTGCGTGGAAACCTAACAACAAATGTTAAGCCTCCACAAGGAACTCGGCTCTTTTTTTTTTTTATTTTTTTTTTCCATTTATTTTTATTAGTTGGAGGCTAATTACTTTACAACATTGCAGTGGTTTTTGTCATACATTGAAATGAATTAGCCATGGATTTACATGTATTCCCCATCCCGGTCCCCCCTCCCACCTCCCTCTCCACCCGATCCCTCTGGGTCTTCCCAGTGCACCAGGCCCGAGCACTTGTCTCATGCACCCAACCTGGGCTGGTGATCTGTTTCACCCTAGATATACATGTTTCGATGCTGAGGAACTCGGTTCTTACGTGCAATTTAGAGGGACCCACTTTCCTTCTCTGCCCAGGGCTGGGGAGTTTTCCAGGACATTAGCAGCACTAACTGGGCAGTTTCAGGAAGACAGGGGCAGTTCCAGTCAAGCTGGGTCAGTTGGTCATATATTACCTGCAGAGCACCTCCGAGCGGGCATCTTCCTCCACCTGGAGGGGAGAAAACCGAGGCTTAGAGCAGCTGAGTCCGTCGCCCAGGGACTGAGTGCCCGTCAGCAGGCGGCAGGACAGAGGTGGGAACCCAGCTGTGCTTGAGGCCAAGGCTCTCACCGACTTCTCCCAGCACCACTTCCTGAAGCCAGGGGCTAATCCATCTTGGCCGCAGTTTGGAGTCACCTGGGGAGCCATGAAAACTGTTGCTGCCTGAGACCAGCCCGGAGGCGGGGAGGTGACTGGCCTGGGCTGGGAGGGCTCAGGGGACTTTCAGGGTCTCCCCAGATTATTGGACAGTGCAGCCAGGCTGAGGAAAAGACCCACTTCCTCAAGCAGCCCACATCACCAGTACCATCCACTAGAGAGTTCTCAGGATTCCTTTCACTCACCTACCAGGCAGGGGAATCAAGTCACAAGTGATCCTTTCGTGAGGCAGGAATACATTTCTTAGGCGTCAGAGCAGAGGAGTATGTCTGCCCTTTCTCAGAATCTGTCTCGCACGTCACCTCCTCACTCACCCACGTGCCCCAAAGCGTATCATATACAGCAGTGGATATGGACCCAGGGCAAATTTGTTGATGCTTGGGTGCATTTTCGGTTGTCACACTGAGGAATAGTTTGAGAGGTCAAGGATGCTGCTAGACATGTTATAATATCCAGGATAGCCCTGACCAACAACAATATTCCTGGTCTCACATTTCAATAGAATGCTGTTGAGGAATCCTGTCCTATAATAACTCCCTCTGTCCTTAAACATATCAGGTAGAGCCTTTGTTGAGAGGCAGCACAGAGACAGCATCACAGGCGTCAGACAAAGGGGTCCCACAGACGTAGCCCTCCCCCACCCCACCCCAATGGCGCTCATTCCAATACCAGGAGCAGGCAACTGGGCATAAGGAATGCTCTTCTTACCCTATGGCATTTGTGGTGCTATGAGCACAGGCTGAAACCGAGTCAGTGGAAGATTCTTTATTCTTTGATTCTTCTGTAAGCTGGGTCACAGTTTTCTCTCCACCTGATAATCCTTACTCCATGTGCTTTGCTTTCCAGGGGCTAAAGACATGTGGAGAGCCTACTCTGACATGAGAGAAGCCAACTACAAAGGTGCAGACAAGTATTTCCACGCCCGTGGAAACTATGACGCTGCCCGAAGGGGACCGGGGGGTGCCTGGGCTGCTAAAGTGATCAGGTATCGGGGTCTCTGGGTTACAGGGATGGGTGGGCAGAGCTTGGCTGCCTTGGACAGCCTGGAGGGGCCAAGCCCTGGAGAACTTTCCAGTAGGGTTGTGGGCCCTCCTACTATTAAACACCCTCCTGCTCTGCGCCCAGTGTGAGGTCTGAGTGGTTGAAGAACAGAGCAAGGCTGGTGGGAGAGGCGACTCTCCACCCTCCCCCTATGGGTGCTGTTTCCCCAGCATACAGGGGACGTGCAGGGCTGAGGTGGTCTGAGCCCAGGGAGCCTCAGGGTTGTAGCCCCTCTTTCCTTGGCTCCTCTCAGAGTCTTTGATTCCTTAGAAAGAGGAGAGATGGGGAGGGTGGGGCTGGGGCTCACAGTCCTGGATTAATCCCCTCCCTGCCCTCCTCCTTTCCAGTGATGCCAGAGAAGGTATTCAGAGATTCACAGACCCTCTGCTTAAGGGTACGTCCAGTGGCAAGGGGAGGGAGGACTCGAAAGCTGACCAGTTTGCCAATGAATGGGGCCGGAGCGGCAAAGACCCCAACCACTTCAGACCTGATGGCCTGCCTGATAAGTACTGAGCTGCTTCTCTCTCTGCTCAGGAGACGGGGCTGTGAGTCCCCAAGGGCAGGGACACTGAGCTAGAGAGTTCTCTGTCCACAGAAGGCAGTGGATCTAATAAATGCTTAAGAGATGGAATACTGAGACTGCGTGTCATTCTTGGTATGAAGACAGCCTGTTGGTTCCAGGACTGATGGCAGGACAGCCACGTGAAGCTGAGCCTGTGCCTGTGTGTTTGTTTCCGGGACACACCCTCAGCATCATTCAGGGCAGACCCCCTGTCCAGCCTTCCACTAATCAGACCCGCCCCCTCTCCAGGCCCCTCTGGTTCCCCCGGGGCCGTTTCCAAGCCCTTCTCAGTCCAGGCCTTCTCCCTCCCTGCAGCTGTGTCCTGCCACCTCCTCTGTCCCCAGTCTAGCCGCCCAGCTTGTCCTCGGTGCTCTCTGCGTGGGGTCAGGGACACAGTCACGGGAGGACTGGACGCTGGAATCCTGCTCCAGCAATTGCCACCTTGATCTTCTGTTCATTTCTCAGCAACTCTTAGAAATCCATCTATGAACCAGTTTCTTTCTGTGCCATCCAGAACTGCCTCCAACACTGTTCCCTGCTAGTCTATTTTTTTTTTTTCTGGCCTTATTTGAAGCCTAAATGATGACATAGAGCCTCCTTGCTTGTGAATGTTTCCTCATAGCCTCTTATTTTAAGTAGCTTACTTGCAGAAATATTAGTGGGGAGAGAGCAGGACAGAGGTGTCTACTTCTGTAAGTGAGTGTCCAGAAACCAGTTAGTGATTTATAAAGGGAAATTTTCATATGAGGTATTATTAACTGGTTATAGGATTAAGTACTAAGATATTAAGAAATACAGAAAGCTGAGGTTTTGATCTTGTTGCGAAGCCTGTAGCCTGTGGAAAGGGTGGTAAAGATTGCTGGGTGTCCCAATCCAAAGCTGACAAGCAAGACGTCCCCCATGTACCCATAAAGCTTGGTATGGAATGGCTCAGGGGTGCAGTTGAACTCACTGAGGATGCAGCTGGGATTTCCTGCAAACTCACCTGAAGGCAGCACACACGGGGCAGGGGATAGAAGGCCTCTTGAGCTCCCTGGAAGCCAGCCGTGGAAATGGCAGTGCTACGGACTGAATGTGTCCCCCCCTCCCCAATTTCTATGTTGAAGTCCAGCTCCTAATGGAGCTGTTCAGATGAAAGAAGTAAATATGGTTAAATGAAGTCATAAGTGTGGAAGCCTGGGCTGGAAGGATAGGGTCCTTATAATGTTAGAGACAAGAGAGCTAGCTTTCTCTTTCTCCTGTAAAGACACAATGAGATGGTGTCCATCTACTGGCCAAGAAGAGCGCTCCCAACCAGAAACCAAGTTGTTTGCAATTGGGTCCTGGACCTTCCAGTCTGCAGACGTGTGAGGAATGAAGTTCTCTGGTTGAAGCCACCTAGTCTGTGGTATTAATGCATTGTTAGGGAGACAGAATGTTGCTGAACACCTTGGGAATCCAGCTGCGAGGCCACAGCAGTTGCCGGGAAACTTCAGCGGCTGGGAATAACATAAAAACTCCAGAGTGCCAGTGGGTGTCCTGTGTGTGAGAAGACCGCCCCAGGAGCTGGATGGCAGGAAGGACACGGGACCCGGAAGAGATGGCGGTACTTCCTGCTTGTCCCCCTGGAGCCCTCTTCTGACAGATTGACATCAGGCCCAGTTGGCACAGGGGAACTGTTGCCTCAGACTGGAAGCAACCCAAATGTCCATCAGATGAAGAGTGGATAAACTGTGACTTATCTCTACAATGGACTTCTATTCAGCAACAAAGGGGAGGGAATAAGCACGGCTGTTTCTCAAATTATTATATCAAGAAGAAGACTTACACAAGAGTGTATACTTCATATGAAGTTCAAGAACAGGTTAAAAAACTGATATTTAATGATAAAGAACAGTAGTTGCCTCTGGAGGCAGAGGTGATGGCCTGGGAGGGGCTGAGAGGGAATTTCTGAAATGATGGAAGCCTTCAATCTGCTATAACAAAATATCATTAATTGAGTACCTTATAATAAACAGAAATGTATTCCTCACAATTCATGAGGATGGGAAGTCCAAGATCAAGGTGCTAGAAGATTGTATCTGGTGAGACTCTATTTCGTTGTTCATAGATGGCCGTCTTATCCCTGTCTTCTCACGTGGCAGGAAAGCAAGGATGCTCTCTGGGGTCTATGTTATGAGGGCACTAATCCCACTCATTAGGGCTCCACTCTCATGACCTAATCACCTTCCAAAGACTTCACCTTCAAATTCCATCACATTAGGAATTAGGGTTAAACCTTTCGGTTTTAGGGGGACGTAAACATTCAGTCTATAGCAACAATTTAAACATAACAATTATTCAATAGAAAATGCATCGCCAACAAATAAATATATCATATACCTTAATAATCTATAATATGGATGTATAACTAAATTAGTAAAATATACAGTGTGAAGCATTTAGGAATATAAAAGTAAATCTTATATGGCCTTGCCCTAAAGGGACGTGTCGTCTATATAAAATCAATGGAAAATTGCAGTGAGGGAGGAGAAGGAGCATCAGGTCAAATCAGGTTGAGGGCACAGAGCAGGCAGGAGAAGCCTTGTACTTGGGGCTTTAAGAGGGCAAGGCAAGGAAGCCACATGAGGAACTCTTTCACGAACCATACATTTCGTAGTTGGTTTTTCTGATGAAATCGGTAAAGTAATAAACTTAAAGATAAGTGATTTAATCTGTTAAGTAGAAATTTATCACAGGCTTGAACTAAAAATTCACTGACTTAGTTATTTACTAAGTCCTTTATTCAATAATTATTTAACAAATATTTGCTGTGTTTACCCTATGACAGGCTCTGGGTGAAGCTAGAGTATGTCTTGTCAAAATTAGGGATGACTCCTTTTTTGGGGGTTAGGCTGAATTTTAATTCTTTTAGTTGTTTTGAGATGGAAATTGTAGGACATTTAGGGAAAGAGTTGTCAGAAACATTTAATTTGTCCTCTTGGTTGAATGCAGTGACCAAACATATTTACGCTTTCCGTGTACTGCTTTCAACCTTCTGCTTGAAGTGGATTTCTTCAAAAGTGGAAACAGTCCTGGGCCCCAGAATTGGCAAAGTTCCCCTGGGGATGGGGTGAAGGCCCCTGAATAAGGTAATCTGTCAGACACTGCACTTTGTTTAAGAGGCATTGTCTCACTTAATCATTATCAGGATGATTGCTGTCTTAAGAAAATTCACCGTACTGATAGGGCCAAAGCTGGTATACAAAACCACGTCTCTATGACCTCAAAGCAGAGGCTATTCTCTGCCCTGTGATTATATCACCAAGAGGCCTTATAAGCAAAAGTCATGGAAGGGGACAACACCCATGTAAGAAGACTGTGATGACCCAGACCATTCCAAAATACAGATTGCAGTTATTCCCGTAGGCAAAGGTGAGGTGGAATAATTGGTAGGAGAAGGTATATGTTCACAGCAATAGCAGCCATGTGACCAGTTGGAAAGGATTGTCTATTGTGAGTATTTCTGTAATGTGAATGCTTATATATATATATATATATATATATATCTCACAAATATTTTTCTTCTCTTCTATTCCTTTATCATCATTGTGAGTATTTCTGTAATGTGAATGCTTATATATATATATATATATATATATCTCACAAATATTTTTCTTCTCTTCTATTCCTTTATCATCATATAGAATATGTACTAATAGCAGTTAACTGTATAGCTCAGTGTTTAAGTTATAGGATTTCAAAAAGGAGTATAACTCACTAGAAAAAGAATAAGCACAATATATTAGAAAAGCAAAAAGAGACTTTATCCTCTTTGTGGAAAAAGGTTGGTATGTTTCAAGTGTATATGGGATAAGTACAGCATGTGTGGGAAGCTGGACTTTGCTATTGTCTTTATTTGGAATTAGCTATGGGTTAGGGAGGTGGTTACTGGTGCCAAGTTGACAGGGAGTGGACTGTGATGGGTCTGAAGTTGAAGTGTCAGCTTGGCTAGGCTGAACAATGTTTCCCACAACTCCTTTCTCTTTATGCTTCTACTTAAAGTGGGCATAAAGAGCTAGTTTGCCCAAGATGTGGTGGTTGGAAAGAAACCAGCATTCCTACTGTTTGTGTGTGTGGAAGGTCGGCACTGGGGGACCAGGATGTTCATGCGCATTGTGGCTTCTCTCTTGGCTCATCTCATTGGCACGAGGCAGCCGCTGGGCCTCCAGCCGCTCCGCCTTCCCCTGACGCTCCTGCAGCTGCTCTGACTCCTGGACCAGGTGTGTGGTTAGCGCCATAGGAAGGCAGCCAGCTTCTGCAGACTTCAGCAAAACCGCAGGTGCTGGGAGAGACTGACCCAAGTTCTGCTTGGTTCTCATGGGTTTTAGCTCATGCTCCTGAGGTCCAGCTTGTCCTGTGGG